TTTTTCCTACATGAACACTCATAACCTAAGTACCTACCTACTACCTCCTCTAACGTATGAAATGAAAGAATATGCGCATCTCCAATCCATCAAAATTAAACAACATTATAGTCACAATTTGTTTAAATTACTCGTAAGTACTAATTAAGTATTTTTTGGAAAAGGAATTTATGTACTCCGTAGTAGCAATAATTTGAATTAATTGACTTGAACTGAAATACTATATTCGTTTCCATCACTGTGTTTGGTTTAAGAAATTTGAGAATTAAAAAAAATTAAAAATGAGAAGGAAAACATTTTTCTTATTGTTTCAATTGGTTATAGAAGAAAAGAAAAGAAAAGTTTAAGGAAAAGAAAATAAGAAGACAAAATGTACAAAGAGGAGAGAAAACTATTTTAGTGAGTGAAAATCATTTTCTTTTCTTTTCTTTCCAAATTCCTTGAATCAAACATAATGTATGTGTTTGTCTCATTTGATTTTTTGTAGTCAAATTTTATAAATGTTGATCATTAGTTAAACAAATTTTTACAAGTATTACACTCGTACAAAAAGATCTAAATAGATTTGTTGGGTAAAAAATGTTTTGTTTTGGTCAATATTTACAATCTACATGAGTAACTTTTATTGGGTCATGTTAGGATGCCTCCAAATCATTGCTACCAGGGATAAACTCATTCTACGCACAGATGACACAGATGATAATCATTGCTATCAGGGATGATTATCATCTGTTCGATACAGATGATTATTATCTGTGTGAAGCATGAGTATAAAGTCAAAACTTTTGACTTTAAAGTCAATTATACTTACGAGGTGCAATTGCCGTAGGTGGAGTGATTAGTTTGGGTCGGGACTTGGCAGTGGGGTTAGAGGGAGTAGGAATCATCAATTTTATGAACGGAGCTCCGTAGGGGGTAATGGCTTCCGTGGCCACTGGAATCCAGTGGCCATGGAACCGGGCTCTTCATTTTTTCTTTGATTAATAATTTAAATGCAACGAATTTGGCAGTAAAAAGTTAAACAAGACAAAAAAGGGGGGTAAGGGTTACCCTCAATCCTAATCACTTTCACCAAACAAGGCTTTCTTATTTGCAATAGCTGAAAGCTGACGGCGCGGCGACATCCGGAAAGTAAAACACAAATTAAAACTAAACCACTTTTATTATGATGTCTTAAGCTGCTTTTGTTTTTTAGGTGTCCATCTATCCTATAATCTGTCACGTTTATATTCCTCAAAAGAGGTTTGATAGAATGACAGTGAATCGACAATTAATCTTATGTTTCGTTCAAAAAAATTGGATACAGGACAAAAAAAGACAAGATGAACAATATTTTATGTTAGATTAGAGGAAACAAAGTGGGAAAAAAGAAAATAAGAAGAAAAAAACTAAGAAGGAAAATGAGATGTTTTCCATTTTGTTTTATTTTAAAATTAATGCTAAATTTCATTTCTATGATCACTTTTATAACATTTTCTTTATTACTCCCTCTGTCCCGCTTTATTTGTCCACTTTTGACTTTTCGAACTGTTTATCTAAGCCCTTTGACTCATCAAATTCTCTCAATGTGTAATCCTAAATATAGTCATGTGTGATCTTGTTTGATTTGTCTTAACATATGGATTATTGATATATAATTTCTATAATTTTTTAATATACAAATTACAAGATAAAATGAATTAAAGAAGTGCATTGGATGGTGTGTAAAAATGAAAGTGGACAAATACTCTGGGACGGAGGTAGTAAAATATACACCTCATATTTTTACATTAAAATCTTAAAGTTAAAAATATAAAAAAAAAACTGGGCCCTATAAATTTGGGGGTTATGTGCGAGTGTACACTTTACACACCTTCAGAATAACCTCGATTTGCACAGGTAATTTAGGTGATTCTGAGGGCGGATATTGAGTTTGATCTGAGGTCTCAAAAGATACTCCATATGTTACTAAGGGGCGACTCAATTGGACTGCACCCGCATATGGCTCCCAAATTTATTACACACATTTTTTTTTCATTTTTTTCTCATTTTCGAACCGACCCTCGTGTTAGTCATATGTACTCTCACTTTCCAAAAATGGTTTACGTCCTTACTATTATGTTTCTGAATAACTTTTGTTTGTTTACATGTTTACATTGATAATTTGACAAAATAAAATATTTTTGTCACATTTTTTGTAGACTTTTTATTTAATTTTTAACAATAGATTCCCTCCATCCAACAATAAACTTCACAGTTGTTATTACGGTATCTCGACAATATATGTTTGTTTGCATATTTTCATCGATAAGATACACTATTTTTGCCACATTTTTTTGTAAAACTTTTAATGTAGTTTTGATTTTTGAACAATGCAATTTGTATTTTTTTATGCTTTACTAATTTGTAAATAAAATAATTTTTTTAAAAAATAGTATTCTACATGTTGTTTAAAATGAAAATGCTATTATTAGGCCAAGGTAGTAATATTTTCTTTTAAAATTAATTTGTAAAAAAATTATTTTAAAGGTCATCTAAATTTAGACGTTAAATATAGAGTGTAGTAAAAAAGAAAGAGTGTGCTTTTGACTGACAGAGTGGAAGCCAGTTACGTTTAACCATTGAAGGTTGCATGGAAATGAGTGATGGGAAAGAATTGAAAAAGCAAATGATCCCCTTATTCCAGAAATGCGCGTGTGGGGACAAAAGGTCATCCGCCTATATCAAAGTCGTCTCCAACAGAGACGGGTCGGGTCGGGTCCACCTCTGCTTCCCCAGATTCCCCTGCCGTTACGGTTCACAGACACGCACGTGAGATGCCAGCCCGCCCGCCACCGGGTTAAAGTTCGCCGTCGTTACCTAACTCCGGCATGTTGAAAGTTTTTAAAAAACGAGTTAATGATGGTCAAAACGAAACGGTGCTTGCTTAAAGCATTCTCAAATCTGGTGATCTCATTTAATTTGTGATTTGGTCCCAACCTTTTTTGTTTTTTTCTGGTTTGAATATTAACTAGTAAAATTTGTTCATATTATTTTTTCTTATTAAAAATCATAAATTTATTAAATTTCATAAAATTAAATAAGAAATGAATTGTATGTCTCAAATATTATTAATAGAAAAAAAATTAAAAACAGCAAACTTTAATTATAAATTACTCTCAAATTATTGTTGCTAGGGGAGGGAGTCACAGAGTTGGAGATTTAATTAGGAGGGGGTTGGGGGTTTAGAAGACAAGAATTTAAATTCGAGATAACTCAATTATAAAAATTTTAAAAATACTTCGGGTATGATTTATCATACTTTATTTATAACTTTTTAATTACTTCTTCAGTTCCAAAAAATGTTCTCTAATTTTAATTTTTATAGATGTTTACAAAATTTTGAAATATATTTTTTTTATTATTTGAAAATGAACAAGTAGCCCGAACTAATTATTTTCACCAAATAAGTTCTAATCATAATTTTTGAAAAACAACTATATTCAATTTCATAAGAGTGAAATTGTAAAGTTTTTATTAAAGGAGTATCACATTTGAGAATCTTATCAAGAGATTGTATTTGAATAGTGCCTTCCTAGGTAAAGTCAATTGACAGAAGTTTGACTATTGGGGATGGGAGTATTCCATATGATTATTGGAATATTGTGAAGTGACAGTAATACCCATTACCAGCTGGCGCCCCTACGGCGTAGCATCACTTTTAGATAGCTAGCGCTTTGAAGTTTTCCATACTCTTTTTAATTTAGCTTATTTAATTTATTTGAAAATTAATGTAAAAATAAATAAAGTTGATGCTCTAGCTGAAGGATTTTTTATTAGTTAAAATATTCCATATCACTGTGTGACATTTCATTTTTATATGGTCATTGTTGATGCTCTTAGAGGTTCAATTCTCCATGTCTCCACTCTATTTTTTTTAAAAATTATAAAAAAACGGCGGGCCTGAGACCCGGGTCACCCGAATCACAAGGCCTGATGGGTTTGGATGGATGGATAGAAAAACGGGTTTACGCAATAAAATAGATCAAATATGTGTTCAGGTCGTTCATGAAAAACAAGCGAAAAGAAGCCAAAAATGGCCATTTATAATCAAACTACTTCATCTAACCCATTGTTTTTAAACCAATGAAATGTAATATGAAAATTTTAAATTTGGTACGTAGTATTTAATTTTGAAGTTAAAAAATAAGAAGAAAAAGAAAAGTAAGAGCAAGTGGCACGAATTAAAGATAACATATATAGTCAAAAATACTAGAAAGGGAAATCTTGAATATTTGGGTTAGTGAGGAATCTATCTTTCCCCACTCAACAGTTTCACGTAGATTCCACTTGCTCCCCTCCCGTTCCTCTTCAATGTTCGGCCATGTGTTATGGTGTACTAGGGGTTTGAGGAGGCTTGAGGGTGTGTAAATGAGTACCATGTGGAGTGATAGAAATATACTTCCTCTGACTCGGAAAGAAGTTTCTTTTTCGTTTTTTCTTTGTCCCACAAGGATATTCTCTTTTTTTTTATTAAAAAACCACTTTTATCCATTACTTTTTCATACCCTACCTATCACATCATACCTTTTTACTAATAATCTATTCATCACATCTTATTTTTATCCATCACATCAAGAGTATTTTTAGAAAATCAACACCAAAATATCCCTCCCTTAATTTCCCAAAAAGTCAATAAAGGAACTTCTTTCGGGAACAGAGGAAGTATATGTTATGGACTTATGGTGGGTGTGAACGAAAGTGATGAAATAAAAATATGTGATAAATTATTTTAATTAGTTAAAATATGAAGTATATACATAAATAATCAAGAAAGGTGGACAACGGAGTGATGGCCATCACTTGAAATGAGGCAACGCCCTTCACAGTTGAAGTGTAATGGGGGAGGGGGGGTGATGGAAGGTGATTAAGCCATCCCCATAACACATGGTCTCATTTCAAGGGACGGATAACTGGATAACCATGTTTGATGGGCTATTTTTATTTTACTCAATCCTTCCTTGTTTCCTTTGGATTTCGAAAAATCTACCCACCGCTATACTGTCATCCGTTACAAATAATTTTTTAGCATTAATTGAATAAAATTTATACTACCTCCGTCCCGTGAAACATGGGACATTTACTTTTTAGGAGGGATTTAAGGGAGTGTATTTTGGTATTGAATTTCCAAAAATGTCCTTTGATGTGATGGGTAAAAGTATGATTTGATGGATAGATTATTAGTAAAAAGGTATGATGTGATAGTTAGGGTATGAAAAATTAAGGGGTAAAAGTGACTTTTTAATAGAAATGAGAAGTGTTTTGTGGGACGGATAAAAAAAGAAAGGGGAAATGTTTCACGGGACGGAGGTAGTATTAGATATGATACACAAATAATTTTATTTGATTAATCTTGTAAACTATTTTAAAATATTATTTTTCCTAATTATTATATCATATACTTCCTCCGTCCCATAAAGTGTTACCCATTTTGACTAAAGTAGAAATTAAGGGAGGGATAGATTTGTGTTGACTTTCCAAAAATACCCTGTGATGGGTAAAAGTAGGATGTGATGTGTAGATTATTAGGAAAATGGTATGATGTGATAGGTAGGGTTTGAAAAAGTAAGGGGTAAAAGTGGTTTTTTAATAGAAATGGGTAGGAGATTATGGGACACAATTTTTTTGAAAGGTGTAAATCTTTTTGGGACGGAGGGAGTAATTTTTATCTAATTATAGGTCAAGAGTCAATTACACATATGATTGAATGCTAAAAGTCAAAATTGAAGAAATACTCTAAAATGGAGAAAATATAAAATCAGTAGTACTTCGTGCTATTTACTCCCTTTGATCCAAATGTTTTTTTGATTGTCTCAAAATAAACTTCTCATTTCTTTAAGAAAATGAAATAAGTGGCCCATATTAACTCGATCTCTCCTTCTCATGAATCTCAACCAACAAAGTTTATCTTTCTTAAATTATGTGAACAAACAAAAGAAAAACTTAAATTACAATAAATGGTAAAAATTTTACAAGTTTCTAATTTATTTCACTTCCATTTTTCTTATGTAGTACTCCTTTCATCAAAAATTAATTGATACACTCTTACTGTTTGGTTTGTCTAAAAAATAGAAAGATCAATGAATACTTTCTCTGTCTCATAAAGATGTTTCTGTTTTAATATTTAAAAAATTTAAAGGATGGATAATTAATTTTGTATTCATTTTCCAAAATACCATTGATGTGATTGGTCAAAGTAGAATATGATGGGTAGATTATTATTAAAAATGTATGATATGTTAGGTAGCTTAAGAATTAATAGATGATAAAATTAATTTTTAATAAATAAAGGAAGGATTTTGTGAAAAAAAGAAAGATGAAAGAGTATTTGACATGAAAAGAGTATTTTTTTTTTAATTCTTTTTTATAAAGTACGGAGTAAAAGAGATGTGGTTTATATATTTCTTCATTGCTTTGATGCTTTATTGCCCCACCATTTTCATTTTTACGCTATAAAAACAACCTCTCCAACTTCTTCAAAACCCTCTTCCATTATCTCTCCTCTGTTATTTTTTCCTTATTCTTCTTTGTTCTTTGTTCAATCTCCATATTATATATTAATGCTTCATCTCATAGTCGTGTTCTTGATGTTCAACATTCATGTCTCCCGTTCTCAGTGAAATCCTCCGGTCGGGGTTCATCATCAGCTCCTCCCTCCGACGCCGGAGCCACCTCGTCCAGTCTTTCTCCGTCGTCTTCCTCTACTGGTTCTATGTTTTCTCATAAACACCTCTCCCCTCTCCCCTCACGTATTATCATCTATTCTACCTAAAATTTAAAAAAAAAACCTTCTTTTTACATTTTCATTTTCTTTCTTTCTTTAAAAAAACCCCAAGAAACAAGATCTTAATTTTTCTACAACTGTAAATAAATAAAAAACAAGAAGAAGAAGAAGAAGAAGAAGAAGAAATGGATTGTTCGAGCGGAAACTCGTGGGGCTGTACGGAAAAGATTCGGGTTTCCGGGTCGGAAGGAGATCCGATGAACGAGCGGAAGAGGAGGAGAATGGAATCGAACCGGGAATCGGCAAAGCGGTCGAGGATGAGGAAGCAGAAACATCTGGACGATCTGACGGCACAGGTGGGACATCTGAGGTCCGAGAACGCGCACATCCTTAAAAACATCGACCTCGTCACCCGGCATTACCTCGGAGTGGAGTCCGAGAATTCCGTTCTCAAGGCCCAGGCGATGGAGCTCAACCAGAGGCTGGAATCTCTGAATGAGATGATCAGCTTTGGATCCATCTTTGACTTTGACTTTGACTTTGACTCTTCCGCGGAGGTGGTGGTTCATCATCACCAACCTGGGCTTGGGCTTGGGCCTGGGACTGGGCTCGTTGACAGTTTCGTGACCAACCCGTGGATGCATATGAACCAGCCCATTCTGGCCTCTCCGGATACCATGTTTCCCTACTGAGATGGTTTAGGATCCGAGAAGAAGAAGAAGGGGTGAGGGTAAAGTGGTCATTGCAGTTTATTTGATTATTGTGTAACAAGATCGCAAAGGTTTATTAATAAGGATGTGATAAGATTTTAAATGGTGTATAATATGATATTCTGAATAATGATAATTGGGTGGGTGGGGTGGAGGGGGGGGGGGTTGCTAATTATGATTCTTTAGGAGAAGTGTGGGGTTTAGGGGCTGTCATGTCTTTATTCAAATGTTAAAGGATTGTGATTCTCAAGTAAATCTATGTTTTTTATTTTAAGAATTCGCCCACTTCTAATAGTGCTCTAAATCTCTTAATGTGCAGTTGAGTACACATTTTTCCAACTGTTGTTTTTATTTTATTTTATTTTATTTTGTTCAATCATATCATATTTTTTTAATCATATGAGACAAAACTAAATATTTCTATCTCTCCCAAAATTATCGTCCTTTCTCAAATAACGTGATTTGACTGAATTCATTTTAAATTTTATTTATTTAGTTAATGGTATAAACTTTTAAAATAAAATTCATACATTGAAAATTACATCAAAAAGCTCTACAAAACAATAGAAAATATAATTATGTTATTTTAACAAATAATAAACAAAATAAATAAAAGATAATTTGATTTGTGCAGAGTACAATCTTTAATATACTCTCTCTATCTCAATTTAAATCGTCTATTTTGGTTTACTTATAAGTTATTTTCAATGCAATTTATTAAAAGATTTAGAGCGAAATTAAAAACTAAACTTTATATGTTAAAATACTATATCGAAAGCTTTACAAAAAAATGTGATATGACTATATTATTTTTGTGAAATGAGTAAACATAGGAAAACAAAAAAAAAGAAATTTGATCTTGTGTCCGGTAAACATGCAAATTAATTTGAGATGGAAGGAGAATTAATTAAAGAGTTCATATTTTAATGAGTACAATACTTCATTGTTTTTTTGACCGGATATACTATATTTGAAGACAAGCAAGTCTAGAGTTGCTTTTTATGGTACTAAATTCTACATGTAAAATGTGAACCTTTTTATACATTTTTTATGGACTCATACATAAAATATTTTAATGTGTGATTGGTGTGAAGGTCTATGAAATTAGCATAGACCTAAAAACCATAGAAGAATTTTCCATAAGTCTAATGATATTAAAGTTAAATTTTTACTAAGTACTCACTCCCTCTCTCTCTCTCTCTCAATGTTTTTGTCCCATTTTATATTATACACCATTTCATATTTTTAATCATATTTATCTTAAAAGCGTTGTAAGAATTTAAAATATAAAAACTCCCTCGTCCCAAAATAAGTATTTAAAACACCGCATTATTTTAACAAATACTTCCTCCGTCCCAAAATAAAGTTTTTGTTCGATTTACAATGCTTGATTGAAATTATTTTTAAATTAATTTATGTAAAAATTAGTGTGAAATTTAAAAAAAGTATATATTAAAATATTAAATCAAAATTTCTACAAAACAAGTTGATGGGGGATAACCCTACGTCAGCCTAGGGCTGATGTCAGCATGTACTTCGCCGAAGGGAAATCGCTGGGTTGGGACGTTTGCGCTCGGCACCCGAGCTCCGCTCGGCACCCGAGCTCCGCTCCGCTCGGCCCGGGAGCTCTGCTCGGCCCTCCCGGCTCGACTCGGCCTGCCAAGCCGAGCCCGGACCACATGACAACGACGTGAAGAAAACGACTTGCGATTAGGACTTGATGAAAGTGATAGGATGAAAGGGACAAGACCAAGGGACAGGTAACGTCCGCTAAACGACGAACCTCGATCAGAGGGCTTTGACTTAATGTATTGTATCCCCTATAAAATTGGTGAGACCCCTCATTGTAATGGATCGAAATTCTAAGTCAATATACTCCTACTTCGCATTCTCTCTCTAAAACTTATATTATTTAATATATTCGGTGGTTTATAGCCATCACAAGTGATGAAAAGATTATTTTATTCTATTAAATGATCTATATATATATAAGTAAACCTTATTTGACATGTAATAATAACTAGAGTTCTATTTTGGAATAGAAGGAATACTACACAAAAAACATGAATAGAGAGTAATGTAGAAGACCAAAAATGCTCACAACCCGATTTCCAAAGTTTTTCAACGGGCAACCCATAAAGTCCAAATCTATTATGAAAAAATCTCTTAAAATTGTACGATTTTACTTTAATAAATGACATCAAAACTTTTTAAAAAATTTACGTGCTCATCACTGCTCTGAAAATTGATGTGTTTATATAAGTACTCCAACATTAAAGCACAGAAGTAAACATATATCAATTCTCAGAACAAAATTGTGAATATATTACAATTTTAAGAAAAGAAATCTTTCTCAATAATATTTTAACTAACAATATCTCTTAAAATATATTAACCAAATGTTGTTAAAAACAATATACTCCGTATTAAAAGTATATTTGGATATCAATAGTTTAATATGAGTATAACTTTTACAATATATTTTAATTCATTATATATTTTTATATGTAGCTAGTCAAAGATTTGATACGGAAAATGAATCAAACACTTAGAAAGGAATGGAGGGAGTAACCTATATTCTCATCATTAATTGGATGGATGACTACGCAACTAAATTTTCATCGCTCAATGACCATAAGAATGTCACTTAATAATTCCTACGGTAGTTTTCATGGCTATTTAAAACAAAATGCAAAAACACAAAGTAGAAGAAGTATGTGGGATTCTCTCTCTCTCTCTCTCTCTCATTCATTCCTCTGCAGAATTGGTGATGATGGATGCTGCTGCTTCTTGACCATTGGATTCAGCTGAAGTGTCTGCAAACTCATCTCTGTACATTTCCTCAATCATAGGCTTCCATAGTCGAACTCGAACATTTATAAACCAGTTTGACACCTTAAACATCATCATCATCATCATCATCATCATCATCATCATTCAATAAAAAGATTCAAAATTCAAACCCAAAACTTGAAGAACAAGAAGAAGAAAAACCCATATCCACAAGAGTGCAGATTACCTGATTCTTTGTCAAACCTGTCTGCGATGCCAACATAAGCTTCTCCGAATCACTCGGATACCTACAAAAGAAAACAACCCATTTCTCAGGTGAAAGACAAAACAAAACAAGAAGAACAACAGAAACAAGAACGAATATTTACGGGTTAAGGAAGTGTTCGAAAAGCCAAGTGCGAAGAATGGCGACAGAAGTCTCTGGGAGGCCTCTGATTGGTCTCCATGCCTGCCTGGAGCTCTGTATAATCCCAAGCTGTTGAAGAAACATCTCATGACTTTTGTCCTCGCCTTTTCGGAGATCCCGAGCCATCTCTGCTTGTGATGATACTTCTCCCATTGTGTTCTTTATCTGGGACAATATGGCTTCCCTTAGGTTGCAGAAGTGTTTCGCCATGGCTTGAAGAGCGAGCGCAGTGTATGAGTTTCCTGCTCCCACTCCAGCCATTGCTTCAAATGAACACACCATCTCTTCCATTTCATGATAGTACTTCTCAAATTTCGTTTCCACCTGAAATTTTTTACTCAAACTTGCCAGATGAAGAACAAGAAAACCCAAGAATATTCCATGTATTTCATTATTTTCGGATTTACCTCTTCAAGCAAAGAGATCAGCTCCATGATTTTAGAATTGTTCTTGAACTCTGCGCGGAGAAGAGAACGGAGCAGCAAAGATCCTTTCTTGCCGTGGCGTGATAATCTCTTGATGTGTCTCTCACGGCCGCCGGAATCTGGAGCCTTTCCTGCAAGACTGACCATTTCTTCAAGAAGCAACTGGGCCGGTCTCAAGTATTTGGAGTTTCTGAGGGGAGATTCATCGCCAGTTCCATAAAAGTTGGAAACTGGGGTTTGGGAGGAAGAGAAAACCCCCATTCCCGGCCTACCACACTGGTCTAAGGGAAGCAGTGAAAGCTTCTGGGCTCTGAGCTGATCATCCATCACATGTCTGGTTTGATTGACTTGAAGGGGAGACTGATCATATGCCGCATTAATAGTGCTGCTTAGACCGAGTGGTTGACCAGACATGGAGTATGAAGTGATGAACTGTTGCAGAATACTTGGTTCTTGATGTGAAGCTTGAGAAACCATTGTTGGAAGAAGAAATTAGTTTCAGGGCTATGAAAAAGATTCGATTTTTATCAAGAATCAACAGCAAGGTGATGATGAACTCAGTCAACAACCCTTTAAAAATTTCTTGGAAAACTAGGGAGCAGAGGATGGGCATAGTATTGAGGGGGGAGTGAGAGTGTCTATCTATAAAAGCCTGCCTGCATTTATTAATTTTTGAACAAACATACCTCGACTTCATATTCAGCTTATTCAAGATTCAAGAGGGAAATAAAAGATTCCTCTTTCTACTTTTATTTTTTTATTATTTGTTTTTCCCCCTATGTTTCCCATAACCTATATGAGCAGCAGAAGGCTATGGAGCCTAAGAAGGAGAGGAAAAGCTGAAAATGAGCATGAAATTTATGGTCCCCCCCCCCTACACCCTCAGCTTTAAATGCTATACCAATTACACATCTTTGGGACACTCAAAAAGCACTTTCAGGCTTCAGCTCTATCTTTACTGTCAACCCACAGTAGAAAGAAGGTAAATGAAGCAGAGAAGTTAACATAAATGTGGCACTTCTGTGTTGCAGAAGGGGGTCTCTGCCACTTGGGAGGGGAAAAGAAGAAATTGAAGAAAAAGTGGTCTATTTTTCAGCAAACATAGATTTGTTTAAATTTTTATTTCAGAGGTTGTCTGCTTTTGAATATGTAATTTTAGATTGTCTGCTTCGGAATCTGTAAACATGTTAGAAAGAAATCTAGCATTGTTTTTCGCTAGCTGATTGACTTTGAAAGGACACTTCATGAACAAACCATCAATAGACACCCCACAAACTTCAATCTTTTGAAGGACTTCCACACTCAGAAAAAAAAAAAGATGTTCATTTTTTCCTTCTTGATGGTTTATTGTTAACAGGGTGTTGAAAAAAATCAAATTACTAATGATTCGAAATGACGTTCTCATACGCAAAAAGAGAGCATTATATGTGGCGGTCCCGTCTAACGCGAACGACATGGATTATTAGTCGTCTCAACATATGGAAATGGTAATTAATGATAAACAGCTTTGTTCTATTAGGCCTTCCAGTTGTCACTCTCTACTTCTGATTGAGAGCTGGCAGATGAAAGATGTAAAAAAAATTCACCTTTTTTACCTTAGGCATGATTCTTGCAGCAAGAAGTAGATTTCAACATTTAAAGGAGATTTCTTTGTGAATATACATATCAGATGGATGGGTTCAGAAGTTGTAACATGCAAGAAGATACTGACAAACTCATAAATTGCACCCACTGCAGAAAAATATGTGTGCCATATTTGTAGAAAGAAATTTAGAAAAAAAGGTTCAATCTTTTCTGCAGAAAAAATCAAATCTTTCATTGCCAAACAGTCAAACAGAATATGCCACAGTAGTGTTTCACTTATAAACTAAGCTACCCCTTATGCAAAGAAATTAAGTCTGTTAGTACAAGTCAATAATAAGCTGCAACAATGCCTCTTCCATCACCAGCTCAGCTGAAGGGTCAATAATATCATGATGGAAAAAACAAGAATCAAGTTCATCTTTGTACCACCTTAATTGCCAGCTGATATATGTTCTGGTGAAGTGGTGGAGCCCGCTTCGGCATCGGCAACCTCCTCCTTGTACATCTCCTCAATCATGGGCTTCCAAAGACGCACGCGTGCATTTATGAACCAGTTCGCCACCTGATCCAAAATATACCCTTCATTAAACATTGCCCAATGGAAGTCATGCCAATCTATTACTAATGTGATCAAAGATTTGTACCTGACTTCTTGTTAAACCCGTTTGTCTCGCAAGCGTGATTTTTTCGGTCTCTTTTGGGTATCTGAAAAATACACAAGTAACACTAAGGATCAAAATGAAACACAAGGAGAAATTATTATTATTATCATACACATAATATTAATAAGAAAAACATACGGATGGAGGAAATGTTCAAAGAGCCAAGCGCGAAGGATAGAAACGGCATTCTCAGGCAAGCCTCTAAGAGGTCTCCAAGGCTGTCTCATCACCCCAAACTGCTGAAGTAATCTCTGTTGCCTCAGCTTCTGATCCACTTGACGCAACCGATATAACCTTTCTCCTTGTTGGATATTATTATTGTTATCGCCGCTTCCTTTTCCCTCCCCTAAGCTTTCTTGGGTGGCCTTAATCTGCTTCTTTATGGCATCACAAATGCAGCGGAATTGGTGGGAAATGGTTTTGAGGGCCAGCGATGTGTATGGTCTAGCAGCACCTGCCCCGGCGACCACCTCAAACGATGATACTAAAAGTTGCATGTGCTCATGATATTGCTTGTATGATACATCCACCTATAGGTACAAAAACAAGTATGCATTATGAGAACAGAAAAAAGTTCAGTCTACTGGCTTTCAAAACAAAGAAAATATGAACATTTAACCCACCTTATCCAATAAAGAAAAGAGTTTAGTCATCTTGCTCTCCAGATCACATCTTTCAACAGATGAAATGTCAGTTGAACAGCTGGAGGACTTCACGAAATCATCAGGTTCTTCGATTTGTACAGATGAACAGAAAAGACTGAGGGGGTCCAAATTCTTGTTAGATGATTGAACATTGACAACTTCGTCGAGTAAATCCTGTGCAGCCTTCAGATATTTTGACTCATAAATGTGAATTCCTCCATGTATATGTGCATTGCTAAAACCCATCTCTCTCAGGCCCATGGAGGAGCTCTCAATGTCTCCAGATTTAACACAGGTGTGAGCTCCACCAGCCAAATCAAATGAGAAATACTCAACATTCTTGTTCCCATTGAAGTGTGAGGAGGCCTGATCCGAATGCATAGTGTGGGGAGTCAAGAAAGAAGAGAGACCAGCAGGGGTGTTCCGGTACTCGTCATCGCAATATGATGGAACTTGCATGGCCAAGCTGAGGGACAGTTGCCCCTTTTTGTACTGCAGATTTTGTTCAATATCAAAATCTGGCGCGACGACATTCAGAAGATCAGAGTCGTGATTCGGCAAGGAACTTTGAGATAAATCCGGGTACGAAAGATGATGGTTGTTCATAAACATCATGGGTGGAAGAGGTGAAGATTGGAGTGTGTGTTTTTGATCTGGCAACAGTGGCAGAGCTGCATCTCTTTGGTTGGTTGTCAAGCCTGATGATGAATAATAAGTTTCCATCTCTAACTTATGCACACAACAAATTTCAATCTTTTCCCTATAAGTAGAGTGATGATCCTGTAGAAGAGTGAGGGAGGGAATTAAGGAGTCAGCCTATCAAGTTATACCCATCATCATAAAAAGAAACACAAGATTTGCTAAAGAACATACAATGTGAACAGTTATCAAAAGATTAACTCTTTTGTTAGGCCACCAAACTCATCCCAGAAGGAACACAATCTTTACCTCACACATATGAATATGCATTAGACTCAAATCAAGCAGAAAATCAATGTGTAAGTGGTCACTCCAAAGTAAAGGTAGGAACTTGCATTGCAGCTGTCCTTCACAGACAGCAATATATAACATCACAGTAACTTTTTTCACAAAAATGGTACCAAAGTAAAACTACCAGAACACCCATAGCTCTGAAACATCATCACCTTCAAGAAACAGAGGTGCCCAGAAGTAAATAAAAACCACATGTTAAAGAAAAACGAAGCTGGGATTGAAAAGATTACCTGAAAAGATTTGTCCTTTAAGATGTGCCTTCAAAAAAAAGTGATTGAAAGCACAAACTCAACTGCAACAATTTAAAGCAGGAGCTTAATCCATTTAGTGACAAAACTGATCCCAAAACTTCCAAAGAAAACAGCCAACTCTTCCTTATAAGCATTCAACAACGGTGAGCAAGAAATTACTGATATTAACAATAGTAATGAAATTACTGATATTTAAAGATAGTGAACTAGAAATAATAATAATAATAATCAAAGTGTCAACCTTGCATTCCATTCTTGAATATTTAAAGTATTATTATATTCTAAGCTAATTGGCATTTCAAACTTTCTTTCCTCAAGTGGGGTCCAGGGGGGAGACCCAAAATAACAAACAAAGCCTACTAGCGCACAAATTTCGTTTCTTCTTTCTTTAAAAAGTGAAGAAGATAAAGAAAGAATAATAAGAAATGAACAATCAAGAAAGGGGTAAATTGGGCAAGAGGTTTGGTGGTTTGTTTGTTCTCCCTCTTTTTTTTCCTTTATTTTTTTCTTCCCTTTTTCCTTTTTTATGGAGTACATGTTTG